TGACGGTGCTCCAATTATTACCGTGCAACATTTTTTTTAACTGATTGTCTCTCTCTTTCTCTCTCTCTTTAAAAAATAAAAACAAAACAAATTCCAAGGAAATTGAAAACAATTATATAAATATCAAATAAATTTTAAAAATAGTGCCGTAGTTCTGGCAGCAAAGGAAAAAGAATCATGCCTGCTGAAACTCTACTCACCTACTTGCCTCACACTTAATTTGGTAGCAGAACTGATTCTGTTCTGATTTGGATGGACGCTAAATGAACAAACTGCGAGGGATTCCTATTGCCTCGGTGAAGGTGTTAAACTTCTTAAGCACTGGAGTTCCTGCACTGCAATCATCTAACAAACAACACACACATAATAACAGGATGGAAATAATATAACTGGGGAGGCAAATCCCTCAAACTCAATATCTGATTGTAAATTCAATTTCAATGGTTGGCTGCTGTCTTGTGCCTTCCAATAAAGCTGAATTATTGAATCAATGTGATTCGGTTTTACGGAGAATATTACTGCGAGGATTCTACAGCAAGCTATTACATAGTTATTAATTTGTGATTTCAATAACTGACAATTGTCCCCATGATACTGGGAAACCATCCTACATCTTTTTTTGATGGATAGATATTTTACTTTTAACAAAGCAACAAGCCCCTCTTTATTTCTTTGTTCAAAACGATCTCCAATCTGCTTTGCACATGGACATCGCCTAATGTAGTCATTTTTCCTAAACGCTACAAATAGTTAGATTCTCCCGTCTATCAGCTCTTGGCTCCTTTCTCTCATATTATGTGTGAAAATCAGCAGCCAACATTACACCCTTCCAGAAGATTTATGCATTCACGGAGGCAAAATACATTTTGTAGTAGGATACAGGTCTCACACCTGGTCTGTAATTCTTTCTCCAGCCACTCCGGCGTCATATTTATGTGAGTTCCTGAGGAGTTGGATAGGAGTTAGCAAAATGCCCATGATGGTGATTATAGAATCTGCTGGCTTCTTTGCTTTGAACTCAGGCCTTTCTGAACAATGGATAATGACTTACACTTGGTATATTTTTGAACACCTGCCTATGTAAGTCTGTTACGATTCATCTTGCTTTGCTTGAAGAAACAAGGATTTCTCACAAGTTTGAAATTTAAAAGAGCTGTGGTGGCGCAATGGTTAGATTGCAGTATTGCAGGCTGATTCTGCCCAAAGCTAGCAGTTGAATTCTCAACAGTTCAGAGTTGACTCAGCCTCCTATCCTTCTGAGGTTGGTAAAATGAAGACCCAGATTGTTGGGGTGGGTGGGTCAATAGGCTGACTCTGTAAACTGCTTAGAGAGGGCTGTAAAAGCACTGTGAAGTCTAAGTGCTATTGCTATTTATAGCTGAAACCTTGTCTTACTTTTAATCAGTTTTTGAAAAACATTGGCAGTTAGCAGGCACATTTCAAGCTGGAAGGATGTGGATTCTCCCATAAAATGCCTCCTATTGTGGATACAGATAGTCCTCGACTTACAATCATTCATTTAGTCACCAATCAAAGTTATAACAGGACTGAAAAAGTGACTTACGACCGTTTTCCCACTTATGACTGTTGCATCATTCCCATGGTCACATAATCAAAATTCAGACAGTTGGCAACTGGTTCATATTTATGACAGTTGCAGTGTCCCGGGATCATGGGATCACCTTTTGTGGCCTTCTGACCATCAAAGTCAACAGGGAGCCAGATTCACATAACAATTGGGCTACTCATTTAACAACTACAGTGATTCACTTAACAACTATGGCAAGAAACATCATAAAAAGGGGCAAAATTCACATGACAACTGTCTCAATTAGTAACATAAATTTGGGGTTCAATTGTAGTTGTATCTTGAGGACTACTTGTATAGGCAGTCATAAAAGGGTCCTGATTTCTTTCATTAGCTGCAGCTGGGAACATGGTGTTTAACAAGGGAAGCTGTGCACAGCAAAGTTGTTGGGAGCAAATCGTGAATTATCTGGTATCATTGAGGTTTATCTGGGTTCCTGGCGTCTTCCCAACCATGTGTGTTTTGCTGGACTTTTGAGGCTGCAATTCCTTCTCCTGCCCAGTCAAGTTAATTACTGCAGTGTGGTTTGTGTGGATTTTTATTTACAGTTTGTATGCACTTTTTTTTTCAGATTGAATTTCCTCCATTTAAAGACTGTTCTTGGGAGAGTTTTTTCTCCAGCTGAAGGTAAGTTGGACACTGGGGCCAAAGTTGGAAGTATTAAAGGGACATTTCTTGCTTATTTGACTGTGTTGCCTTTGTGCCACACCCTGGGTCATTACAGACCTCCTCTTCCTCTTCCCCTCAGCATGATGCCTACCATTCCAGCCTCCAATATTTTTCTAGGCAGATGGGGCAACTCTTCCAAAGTGAAGTCTATCTTAAAGTCATACAATGTTTTGTCTCCCTACCACTCCAAATCTGTGTGACCCATTTGTGGCAAGGCACTATTTGTTAAGCCTAACACTCCTCAAGGCTTTGGTTGGGAAATGAGGAGAGGCCACAAGTACAAACTCTGAATTTTCTACAGGAAAAATAATGTACAAATGTAATAATAAAACAAACATTGCCCACGATGAGAGGGATAGCAAATAAAAGAATTTGGGTGACTCTTTTATAAGAGGAAGTAGGATTAATATACTTGTGCTTGCAAAGAAAAATAGCAATGTAATGCAACAGTTGGAATAACATTACAACAAGGTGTTCAAAAGATAGTGGCAGGGATGGGATTCTACCAGTTCACTCCTATTTGCTAGAACCGGTTGTTATGTTAACATTCTAAGCAGTTTGGAGAACCGGTTGCTAGAAGAAATTACTGCCCTAATCCTGTAAGGAAGGCAGGAAAGAAACATTCTGGTGTTGCTTACAGAAACTGCCTCTCCGTTAACCCTTATTACATTCTTGGCAGAACTAGAGTTCCTGTCTCAGGAACGTTTCTGGAGTATTTTTTCCCCTTCCTTTGCTGGTACTTTGCTTGTGTGGAGTGACCATTTAAAGTTACAATGGCACTGGAAAAAGTGACTTATGACCATTTTTCACACTTATGATTGTTGCAGCATCCTCACAGTCATGAGAGGCCAGTCATTAGAGGCCAGGCGAGGAGATACGTGCCTCGATGTAAGTGATATTGAGTTGGCCACACCCAGCCAATAACCACCAAGCCATGTCCACCAAGCCACACTCACTACCTAAGCCATGCCCACAGAACCGGTTGTTAAAAAATTTGAATCCCACCCCAGGATAGTGGTATATCCTAGTACAGGGATCTCAAACTCAAGGCCCATGGGCTGGATCCAGCCCATGGGGAGCTTAGATCTGGCATGCAGGGGCAGCCTGAAAACAGTGAAGGTTCTCTGTGGTGCCTCTGCCAGAGAAAATGAAGCTCAGGAGAGCTGCAAGCAATCCTTGCAAGCTCTGTTCTCGCTGGCAGAGCGGTTACAGGAGGCTGTCACAGCTGGAAACAGAGCTCAGGAGCCCATTTTTGCTGGCAGAGCACTTGGGCCATCACAGGTGCCCCCAGCACAAGTGACAAACTGCCCATGCCCACCCTGGCCCCCTGAGGTCAAACAAAATGTTGATGCAGCCTTCAATGAAATTGAGTTAGACACCCCTGCTCTAGGATGACAGGCCATCTCTATAAGCCAAAGTGGGATCCTCCACCTCTCTAGAAAGAGAGCTTGAGACATGCAAGACTGATGGCAGCTTTTGAAGCAGTCCAGAGCAGGAGACCAAAGTCTATGAATAGTAAAACCACTTTTCTTGCAAGGCTATTGAATCTTGCAAGTCTGAAAGGCATTTTCCCACTTCCTGACCTGTATGTACCAGAGAACTAAGGGACAATCAATTGTGAGATGCTGTCTCAACTTACATTTCTGTTTGGGCTCCAATTTTGTTTACCAAACTGTTGCCTAGGGTGGGGTTCTTCCTCCTGTCTTTCAAGGTTATTCTCACAACCCATTGCAGAACATACAAAACAATGATTTGCCCTTTCAGTGCTAGGCACCTTCTAATATACCTTGCCTTGAAAGACTCAGTTATCTTCTTCAGTAGCAAACGCATCACTTTTGTTGAGCCACAAATTCCTTTCTGCTGAATGCCTTATCAGTTCTTGACTTCTGCTTCTTTATACTATCTTGCATCCCAAGTTTTTGTTCAGAGTCTTTCTTATGTAAGCCATCCTGAGCCTCTGGTCTTACAAGATTCCCATGGTGTTACTGAACCTAATTCTGTTCCTGGTTTCCAATGTGTATAGTTTTCATGGGCCTGGGAGTGAAATTTTTTGTACAGTCTTGCATGTCTTAGCCCGCCTCTTACATCAATAATTCGTTACAAATTCAAACTTTATTACTTATTTATCTAATTCATATCCTGCCTTTATTCTTTTTACAAATAATTCAAAGTGCTGCACGTATTCAACGCACCTTCCTCTTTCTGGGGAACCACAACAATCCTGTGAGATAGATTGGCTGGGAGAGAAGGACTGGCTCAAGTTCGCCCAACTGAGATTGGGATTTCAATTCACATCTGTCTCTTGCTTTCTAGCCTGGTGCCTTAATGGCTTGACCAAATTGGCTTATTAAAAATTATAAACAAAAGCAATAAAATATGATTGCCTACTATAATGTTATAGGTTACTTTTGTTTTTGTTTGTGTTGTTCTTCTCATAGCTATATTTGCTGCATTATAGTCATCTGGAAGAGATTTAAGCAAAAATGAGAGACTGCATTTGGGCAGAAATGGTAGCCCATTTACAAGAAGCCTTCTCCTTTGGCTTGGTCTTTGGGAAAAAGTAATTCACTTCCATTTTGACTGTCATTGCACCATGAAATGTAATAATTTTAATATTGTTGAAAAACATATTGTAAGAACTGAGATATGTCGAGATGTTGTTCCAGCAATAACCTGCGATGGAATGAAGAGTTAAAAATTTTCAGAAACCCAGGGGCAGTTTGTCATTAAAATTAGTACTTACTTCTGTGTTTGTGTAGTATAGCTGTTATCATAGGCTTCATAACTTGGCTCATCATATTCACCCCCATATCTATCATCGTATCCCTATAAGGGAAATAAAAGATCTAATTTAGAAGGCTGATCCATTAACAGATTGACACCTGTAATAAAATCTTAATATTTAAGTATTATATTCATGCAAATTAACATATCATCAAAAAAAAAAAAAAATTGAATGCTTGTGGTCCTTCCAGTCAAAGCATTCCCGGAGCAGAGTTTTTCTCACAATTTCCAGTCAGAAAAGATAGTTACCTTCACTTTTGACTCTGTTATTGAGACTCATCAGTGCTGTAATGCAGAATTTGGGGAAGTGTTCAAGACTTTGAAAAGCTGGATTATTAATTTTCTACTAGCAGAATTCGGAAACCTCTAATTTGATTCAGTGGCCTAATCCAAAGCATCATAAGCGTGCCAATCAGGTTGAAATTACTACAGAAATAGTTTGGTGCCACTGTCTTGACAAGACTGATAAAAATTGAGTTCCCTTGGTCAAAGTATGGCCTAGAACAACATGTAATTTGCACTATTTTTCAACTGCATAAAGGTGAAACAATCAAGTAAGCCATCTCTATGAGGAGGCTAATCATGCCAAGCAACTTGAAATAGGGGTCTCAAAAATGCCACTTAAGTTTGTTGTTTTGGAATACAATAAAACATAAAGTGATGAAGATAAATGGGTTAGCAACCTTTACTGCAAAGAATGCCCATCCCAAATTCTAAACAGATTGTTTGTGAACTTGGCACTATCTAACAGTATGAAAGAGGTGGGCTGGAAATAACTTGGCACTATCTAACAGCAAAGAAACACAATATGACTCTGGCAGAGAAAGGAAAATTGATTCCGGGTAAAGCGATAGAGGCTGACACTAGGCAAAATGAGGATATATGGCTAAAAGTAAACTCTAATGAAGGGAGCCCAGAACCATATGGTAACAAAGGAATATTTGGAATATTTAAGGTTGAAAGTTATATAAATGAAAGAAAGGTAGACGTGTTGCAATTAGAGCTGACCTACTATATGGGGTCAGCATGGAATGGACAGTAAACTCACAAAAGTAGACCACTAGTATACACAGCTGGTTACAAAAGTCTTCCACCATTATTTTGATCAGGTTATGTACAACAGTGGTCTGAAGAGAATCATAGCGGAAAGCTAGGCTGCTGTTTTTTTTTTGCCTTAAAATGATCACGACCCCTTAGAAAACCAAGAACTGGTTACCCTGTTGGATCTGAGTTTTTTTTTTTTTGTGCTGTAGAAAAATGAAGAATGTCTCAAAAGGTGCTTTTCTAAATGGCAACTGTGCTTTCTTGATTATTTTTTCTTTGAAAATGATTTGCTTCTAATCCAAGTAGCATCTTCAGCTTCTTTGCTGAGAAGCTAAATATTTTCAAAGAAAAAAGTTTGGAAAAACATCTTTGGGAAAACCATGATCTGGATGATTGTGAATCTCCATTAGACAAATGTGAGGAATTCCTTTTCTTCATCTCACCTCCACCCTGTTTCTTGCTTTATGGTTGCTTTACGATTTCTACCAGCATGATCTATCATCTAATGTTGGCCCATCAGAAACTGCTATTGACCTACAGTAGGTGTGCAAATGATGGCCAGCACATATAGCTTTTCTGATGCAGTGCTGTTATCTCAGTCTTTGGCTGTTAGGTATGCTGCTAGTAAGGCTGAAGAGCAATTTATTGTATATCCTAGGAAAATGTTAATGAAGGCTACAATTTTTTTCCCCTGGAGTTCAGCATATAAATGCATTTCTAAATAGTGGTGGGTGAAATAATAGCTTAAAAAAATGACTAGATGATTACAAGAATGCATTGCCTCATTATATCACTAAGAAGCTTATTAGTGGCATATAAAACATATTTTTCTCTCTGCCTCTGTGTCTTTCTTTTCCTTCCTTCCATTTTCGTACAGAGAGAGCCACCAGTAAATATTGTGCCAAATGTGTTCTTAACTTATGTTGATTCTAATTTCTTCTGCCCAACTAATCATTGGAAAGATACACTATAAGTGCTTGGATAAAATCATAAAGCCTATCAGTAGTCAGGTGGGTCATACAAATGAGCTGCTTTGGCTTCTAATTCTGCAAAATTTCCAAGAATGACTCTCAATGTTGATTTTAGAAGATAGGGTTGCTTAAAAATCACATCTTCTAACAGTATGAAACATTATGAAATAGGTGAACTCATGAATTAACTAAAAAAAGGAGTTTTCCAGTAAAAAAGATTGGGCCCTTAGGAAAATCTCTTCCAAGCTCTTCACTGGTCAAAGCTGCAGTTCAGAAATTCAATCTGATGTTTATGCTTCTGAATCAAACTGACTTTCTGAGTCAAATCAGATTAAACTGGGTTATTTGTTCTAACCCAATTGAAAAACCTAAAAATCTGAATGAAACAACTCAACACTCCTATAAATAAAATAGGAATCCACAAAAATTTGAACCCATGTCTCACATTGCTCTAACATCCATCCATCATCCATCCATCCATCCATTCATCTATCTATCTATCTATCTATCTATCTATCTATCTATCTATCTATC